CTCACTTCTGCGGTGAGGGATTACTTCCTACTGCCTTGCGGTTCGCACTTGGTTGTGCAAAGGCTGGAGGTGCGCCTTCAAAATAAAAAATCGCCGAGTGACGCTGGGGATGTCTCTCGTACCAAATGCCGAAGTAACTTCATGATCATGATCATGTCTGCAGCCGGCTTATCCTTTCCAAGGAGCCAGTCGCAGTAAAGTAAAGTAAAGTAAGCTATACTGCCTACTGACGCTATGGTTATTCGAATTATGCAGCTGACAGAGGTGAAAACACAATTTTTGCTGGTGACATCACATGATTTATCTACCATACAATCACCAACCACGGGCAAATACGTCGAGAAACAGAATGAAACAAACTGTTCTCCAATTGTTTTCAATACTATCACAGGCAACAACGGTTTGCGAATAGTATTAAACATTCTAGCACAAACTATTGGGATCTAACTGGTTACCAGATCTGCAACCACCCCGTACTACAGACAGAATAACCGAGTGTGGTGAACTCAATAAAATAGAGATTGAAACGTCTCACCCGACGCATGAGAACGATCATTCTATAGACAGAGAAAACTTAAGGTTGGTTAGTGTACCGTACTGCCGAAGCCGATCAAGATCAAAAGACGTTCGCGAAACCTTGAATAAGCACACACGATAAGGCATACACGGGATTGTAAGAAATGTGTGTATATGTGCGCGTGAGGTGAAAGCCAGGGGGGGTTGGGTGACTGATTCGAGCGGTTTATGTGGATTGTGGTTTTCCACGGTCTCAACAAAGGGCAAGTTGGAAAATAAGTCTGCCAACTAGGTTATCGCACGGGATTAATTATTCCGTTTAGGGGAGAATAAGTATGTATCACCTTAACAACCACCCCATTGGTGAGCCTACTATGATAATTACTATTCCGTAATCCACGTGTTTGATGCTTCGTTCACGTCCATTGTTTCATGCATGTGATCTGATTGGCTATCTGTTATACGAGTAGCGTCCAGCAAAACGTTTTCCTAATTCAATTTTTACCACAATATTTGACAGATGCGTGATCCTGCTACTACTGGTCACAGCTTGCCTTACAATCATCGGGGGTAAGACTATTTAAAATGCTAAGGCGAGCGTTGTAAAGATCGGTTATGCGGCGACTAGATTATGCACATTGATGACGAATGCATCAATCAAAAAGGCCTTGAAATATCTGGCTGTGACTATGAACCGAGACACGTGTCACGATCCAACCAGTTTGCCACTGTCCTTGAGAGCTCCAAGAGAATCCGATATCCCGTGCCTCGCGTCATTTCAACCAATCTGACTTGCAAAGACGTTTTGCTCCTATAAGTTCTTGAAATTTTCCAGCACAGTCTATGGGTTCACTTCACCCATATAGACGCGATAGACGCAATGCATCGCTTGA